ATATCGTAAAAGCTAAGCTCGGCTCGCACTATTTCAAAAGTTAATGAGGTTTGAAACTCACTGAAATTCAAACCTCAGTAACTTTTAAAATAGTGCGGGCCGAGCCTAATTTTTACGATATTCGTAATGAGGAACATGTAATGTGTCCGCATACAAATTTTGACGAAAATCGGAGGGGCTCTCCGAATGACCTTGAAATTCCGTAACTTTGTGACTCCGTAACTTGAAAAATATGGCGGGCCGAGCTTAACTTTTATATTAGTAATGAAGAGGATGTAATATGTCCGTATACCAATTTTGACGGAAATCGCAGGGGCTCACCCAAATGACCTCGAAATTCAAACCTCCGTAACTTCGTAAACATGGCGGGCCGAGCTTAAATTTTGTGATATTCGTAATGGGGAGCATCTAGAGTGTCCGTACACAAATTTTGACGGAAATCGTAGGGGCTCTCCCGAATGACCTTGAAATTCAAACATCCGTAACTTCGTAAATATGGCGGGCCGAGCTTAGATTTCGGGTGCATCGTAATCAGGACGTTACATACTATCCACTGACCAAGTTTGGTCCAAATCGCAGGGGCTCACCTGATTCCGAATCTTAGATTATAGATTAGGATTCACTTACATCTAACTTGACCGTGAATCCATGCTGATGATCCCTGTAAACACACTTCCCTGTAAACACAGACTTTCTCCCTGTCTTCTTCAGTTAATATAGAACAGCAAAACAATATCTATTATCTAACCTGACCTGGTATCAAGGCCGTATAAGAGCCTGGCATCAATTCCCAGAAGCCAGACAAGAGATGCTGGTTGGAAAAACGAGGACGACAGCTGGCACATTCCCCCCTGTATCCACTCCCGTCTCCCAGTACCCCAGGCCCAGACCAGGCCTAACCAAGCCTAAACCTAGGTGTATAACTAAACGGGTGCTGACGCTAAGGCTTTACCCCGAAGAAATCATGACCGACATCATCATCTGACCTAACCTTGCCAAAAACCTACAGCCTACAACCTTCAACATTAGCTGCGTTTACATAGGGATAGTTGCAAGCCTCTAGCTCTGTCCGTGATGTTTAATTGAGGGACGTAGCCAAGGGGTGGCCATGGGGGTCTTGAAAGTGGAAAAAAACATAAAATAAAATAACAAAATAAAAAACAACAGCTGCACCACACCCCCAAAAATAGTGGGCCAAATCCTAGGAGTTTTCCTTTTTAGAAGGTGTACCCTACGCCGCAACCTGAGGACCCTCCCTGAGCAAAATTCTGGCTACGTGCCTGGTTGCGTAACCTCCCAATGATGCTTCACAATTTACAAAATAATCTCATCTAAATATACGAGAAGTACTGCATCAAAATTATCACAGAAATAATGAGCTATAGCCTCGACAAAAATGCCATGTAACAGGGCATGTTCAGGAAATTCCAGACATAGGCCGGCGGAATGGGGGGGGGGACACCGGGGCACCATGCCCACCTTTGATTTTGGCATTTTATCATAAGCCCTATGGGCATTGCATGGAAAGAATGAGCCCAAAAGTCGGCAATACCCCCCCCCCTCTAATTGAAGGTGTTCCGCCGCCACTGTTTCCGGAATGCCAGGACACCCTGGCAGTGTTTCACGGACGCTGGTACCACTCATAGGCGGCGGAACGATTTGAGACAAGGGGGGGGGGGGCACCAGCTCAAGGAGCCAAACCTAGGGTACCCCCAAATCCTGTTTTCTCATCGGATTTAGGCCACTTATTTTTCGTCACAGCCCTGACACGATGATTTTTTATTTTTTTTTATTTTTTTACTAAACGAAAATGGCAGTTCACCCCCGTATGTGTGGCTAACTTTAAGCTGATCCTCTAGTACCTATGTGTTTGTCTCTTCCTTATTGTCGTTTGATAAATTCCATTTATCCTACATGTATCAAATTCCCAAGAAGCCATCGCAGTACTTATCAGTGGCGAATCCCAGGGGGGAGGTCACATGGGTCATGACTTAGGGTCTGGGGTCACCACATGCCTGCAAGGAGCACCACAGGCCTGACAGCCGACAGGGGCACCACAGGCCCGCCAGGGGTAACACAGGCCTAGCAGGGGCACCACGGGCCTGTCAGTGGCACCACAGGCCTGTCAGGAGCACCATCGGCCTAGCAAAAGCACTACAGGTCTTCCAGGGGCACCAAAGACCTGCCAGGGGCACCAGAGGCCTGCCAGGGGCACTATCGGCTTCGCAGGGGAACCATGGGCCTGTCAAGGGCACCACAAATCTGTTGTTGGCACTTTAGGATTGTCAGGGGCACCACAAACCTGTCAAGGGCACCTGTGTTCTAACAGGGGCACCAAAGGCTCGCCAGGGGCACCACAGACCTGCCAAGGCCCAGGGACACCACAGGCCTAGCAAGGACACCACAGGCTTGCCTGTCAGGGGCACCACGAGCCTGTCAGGGCCCATGGGCACCTAAGTCATGTCAGGGCCCACCGTAGGCTTGTCAGGGGGCAGGGTAGGTAGGTACAGTCCACAGCAGAAGTAATGTGTGGTTTCAGTCATGGGTATGTACTGCTTCTGAAGCTTAGGAACCATTAGCCAGACTACAATCAAACTTTTAATGTAGCTTATATGTATCGTCACCCTTGCAGCTGCAACTTTAGCTATTGAGTATTGACATCTTCTTTTCAATCACTCCGCATTAAACAATAGCCAGTCAAAGCCAACCGTTGAGATTGGTAAAACCCTACATTACTTTAGCGGTGGGCTGTACCAGTCTTTCCAGGGGCACCAGCGGCCTAGCAGGGGCACCAGTCATCACATGACTAACCAAAGGTAAAGAAAATAAAAAAAAAAACTGAAAATAAGGCACTACCAAAATTAAGTGGCCGAAATCCGTTGAGGTTTTAATTTTGGGTATAGGCAGTGGTCGATAAAACTTCCAACGTACCAACGCTCGTTGGAGCAAGATATTAGCAATACTTGGAAGAGCTGGAGACAGTCCGCCCGTCTACATGGATGCTTCCTTACGCCTAAAATACAGCATTGTTAAAATACAGCCTCGTACGGCGCCGCGGCTGCGGGTCGCCGTCAGCTGTAGGCCGTCACCGACTGTTATACTCTCGCGGAGTCTTAAAAGAACCGATTTTACTATGTTGAATCTCGACCTCGCACACACCGATTGGGACGCTGTTTTCTCCACGCCAGCTGTCACCGATAAGTGGAGCAACTTCTTGACGACTTTCTTACCCGTTCTGAACGCCCACGCTCCCATCAGAGCCGTCAAGATCCGGAACCCTACTGCCCCTTTCGTGTCCGACGCCACTAAGGATTTGATGTGTCGCCGTCGGGGGGCGCTAGCGCGGTACGGGCACGGCTCGAGCGAATACCGCAACGCGAACAGGGCGGTACGCAGCGCTATCCGGCGTGACAGCCGTGATGACGTGGAGCGGCGCATTCGGGAGAGTGGGCGCCGGGGCATGTGACGCATTATCAGACCGTACGTGGGTAGTAGGCGGGGGTCGCGTGCTGTGCCCAGCACATCGGCGGACCACCTGAATGATTATTTTGTCAGTGTCGGACCGCGAGTAGCTGCCGAGGTACGCGGGTCGGGTGATCTGCCGACCGCCCCTTGCCGTTTGCCGCGTGTGGGCGCCTGTGCGTTCGTGCTGGCGCCGTTGTCGCTGTCAGAGCTGCGTGCTGTCGTCTTCGGACTTAGCAGCTCGTCGGCCTGTGGCGAGGACGGTGTCAGTATTCACGTGCTCCGTGCGTGTTTTGAGTCGATCGGTGAGGTGCTCCTACATTTGCTCAACTCCAGCATTACCCACGTTTATATACTTAGCTTCAAATTCAGATTCAGATTGCAGATTCATATTCGATGGAAAAAATGATAAAAACGGACCCCTTAGAATCTCACCAAATTTACACCAGCCACTCAGCATGACCTGGTCATCACAGAATAAAATTATCTAAGCTCGGCAAGCCCTGGGGGCTGAGATATTAGGGGTCAAAGTTCAAGGTCATTGAGGGCGGACCCCTCAGAATTACCTCAAAATTTGCACACAGATGCAAATTGACATGCTGAGCACGATGGGCATAAAATCTAAGCCCGGCAAGCCCTGACCTAGAAGTTAGGTCAGGTCAAAGGTTGCAGCCACGTGGAGGTCACGTGACCCATTTTAAAGCGGACCCCTCAGATTTTGATGAATTTTTGTGAACTGATACATCTAGACACCCTCATTAATATCCTAAATTATCTAAGTTCGGCAAGCTCTGGGGGCTGAGATATGAGGGGTCAAAGGTCAAGGTCATTTGAGAGCGGACCCCTTCAATTTTTGTTAAAACGTAAATCACCCCTCAACTTTGTCTTCTGAATTTAATGGTAAAAATTTCTAAGCTCGGCAAGCCTTAGAAAAGCCAGAATGAATATTTAGAAAACGAGCATTTTTATTCCAATATGGCTGACAGGTAGGTATTGTGGCGCATCAATGACATAATTGACGCGTAAAATGTAAACAAACTGCATGCTTCCAAATGAAGCAATTCCTTTACAAATCGATCGATTTTACTATTTCCTTCATAGATAGTGGCCGTTTTATGTCTATTGATGGATTACGAGTCTACGACCTCATACCTATCTTCACAACGGGCCAGTGACCCCTGATATAAGCCCTTGGTGGATGAATGACCTCTAACCTTTTCCAGTACCTACAGGTCACACACATCCGACCTATCCCCGAAGATCGCTAACCATAGGTGTCACTTCAACAGCTCTCACATCTCCTAACTCAGATCTGACCTGAACTGAGATGAATGACGCGTCACGGGTCTCTGACCTCCGTCATGTGGGTCATTGACCTTTGACGTACCCAGAAAGGAATCACTTACCTGACATGTTAAAAGGACCAGTGACCTCTGAGTTGTCTGAACTCTCGCCCGTGTGCGGTGTGCGGGTGAAGGTGCCGGAGGTACGTTGGAACCCCGCCCGCCGCCGTTCGGGCCCCTGATGGGAGTTAGAGCTTCGCGGAAAAACGAGTGTATTGCGAGCGTTACGAGTTATCTTAGGATAACCAGTTTTAGTCCTGGGTCAGTGACCTCAGTTGACCTCGTATGACCTGCACACCAATATGACCTGCTTTCACATACGTCACAGACATTTTTCCATAAAGATGACTCAGTCGTTTTCATCTCATTGTCACTTTGTAGGTCGCACCATTTATTGATGAACCAAGTTAGATAACCCGACGACTTCACGTGAGGATACATAGTAACATGTCACAATCGGCATTAAGCAGCCTCGCCTCGGCAAACACTGACGAATAGAAAACACTCCCCAGTCCCCACGCCTCCGCCAGTGATAATAAAGCCTACAAAACGTTAACTGGTCAACTCCGAGCAGTCGCGCAGCACTAGTCAATCAATGAGTACATTGCGACGCCGTCAACATGGGCGGGTCCCGTGGTGGACAGTGTCAAGTCGTGCTTAGCTACGATACGTAACATAAGATACGGCCGCGCCCGCACAGATCACCCGCGCCGTACGGCCCCAAACACGACCACGAGGCGACGGCGACGGCGAGGTGCCGTCTCACCGGGCTGGCCAGCAGACTGAGGCAGCTGGCGCACGGCAGCGTACCGTGCTCATATTGCGCCGGCACCACGCCGATGGCACCTCGCAACACGAGCTGAACAGCTCCGTCCGGTACTCGAGCACCTTGCGGCTGTCGCGGTAGCGTTTGAACACATTAAGTGGGTTCATGTCCTCTGTTGTTGTTGTTGTTGTTTCCCTCCAGCCCTAGGGCGTATCCTGCCGGCTCTGGAGGGGGACGAAGGCGGCACCCAGGGCCGCTACTGCGTCGATGCTGCGCAGGTCCTCGTGGGTCGGGTGTATAACCGACCCACGAGCACTGTTAGTTCCGAGCACTCGGAACCGGCAGTTGCACCAGGGCGGGACACCGCATCAGCGCGTGGGCCGAGGTGTCTGCTTCCTCACGACAGAGCCCACACCGGCAGTTGGCGATACCAGCCGTCGGGCCAGGCCGCTCTGGTCCTCGCACGCGCCAGCCTTGCCGCTGCTCTCTGGATCGTTCTGGTGTCCAGTGGTGTGTGTCTGAGTTCTGGTCCAGGGCGGAGGTCTCCTCCGCCAGGGTGTCTGCCCTCTCATTTCCAGGAAGGCCGCAATGCGAGGGGACCCACTGGAGGTGAATGGGTCGTCCCGCGGACGACGGCGGCTGGTTGTACGAGTGGTGCGCGGTGACGTGGTGGCCCCCGACGCCGGCCGCCGCCGCACAGCGTGCGACAGGATGTTGTTGCCTGTTGGTGCCATACCTACTCCTGTGGCAAGCAACAGAATCAGAGCGTCAGCAGGGGCGCATGTGATCAACAACGCTGGATATTCGCATATTATTTCAACAGACAAAGAAAAAAAAAACAGCACAGGAGAAGAATGAATAGCAACCATAGCAGCCCTTTCCCTGACGTCCACACGCATGTAGTTGGATTCACCCTATCTGAAGGGTCAGGCCGCCAGCTCACCTCGGTGGGCGGCTGGTGACTCGGTTTGGGCGGCGCGCCGGGCGCCGTCGGCAGCGGCGGTGGCGGTGGCTGCTGCTGCTGGGGCTGCGGCGGCGGCGTCGGTACCACTGTGTCCGAGTAGGTCTGGAAGCCGCCAGTGGGCGTGTGCACCGCGCTGTGGTCACCTAGCCCGGCGCCATCATCGAGACGTGTAGGTACTGCCGGCGAGAGCATGCCAATCAGCGTCATGATGGTTGTATGAGCAGTGGCGAAACGAAGCTTAAAGGAAATAGTTCACTTTCACGAAATTATTTTTTTTGCAACAATTTATTATTTTTTATGTTCAAAATAATCAGCAAAGAAAATAAAACCTTTTTATAACAAAAGATTTTTTTTCTATATTTTGATATAGGAAGAACTTTTCAGTTTCTGTAAGGCACAAGCGATCCAGTATGAAAAGAGCATGGGTCCCGAAAATTCTTCAGAAACAGAGAAATTATCGCAGCCACCGGCATTTGGGCGATCTGCTCGATCTGATAATGTTCCCCTGAATGTCCTAATTGATCAGTACGAGAATTTCTCTAGAGTTCTCGTAGATAATTTATCTAGTTTCTGAAGAATTTTCGGGACCCATGCTCTTTTCATACTGGATGGAAATATATGCAAGGCACACATCCTCAACGCAAGACACCTTTTTCGGGACGAGAAATAGAATATCTTTGCCTAGGGTGATCGTTGGGCTGTAAAAGCTCCTGATTTGTGCTAGTCTCAGCGCAAGTAACAAAACTGCTATTCCAGTTCAAAACCCATGTTAAAAAGTGAACTATTTCCTTTAAGTAATGAACAATACGGGGTCAGTTAATCAGGCCATATGAAACTCAGCAGAACTAGAATTTGCATTTCCCTACAAGATACAAAAATAAAACAGCTTTAAAACATAATTTTCATCAAAAGTCACTACAAACAGGTACACAAAACTACCATTAAATCGAACATCTCAACAAAACTCAGTTTAGATGACTATATTGCGCTAAAAAATGACTATATTAGATTGACTATATGTACAGAGAGAAACGGGAGTCAGACACTCGACAGGGGACAGCGGCGGCTGCAGGACAGGGAACGGCAGCGCTCGCCGCTTGGTCAAATTAAACGTGCTCAAAATTGCGTAAGGTGACGTTCGTTTTTGCAGACGATACAAATAGCAAATAAGTAAAGTTGAGAATATGTAAGAGCAAGAACAGCATAAGTATGACATAAGACAGCCAGCTTTAACTTACTTTTGCGCCTTGAACTCCTTCATTATATCGAGGAAGTCGTTGTGGACCTGTGGGTTGTTCTGGAACTTGGACTTGACCTGGTTCTGGTAGGAGAGCACGTCTTCCACCTTGAGTCGGTGGTAGCTGGGCTGAACAGCGCCGGCATCGGCGTCGGCGGCGGCGGCTTCCCGTCGCTGTCTCGGCACCCATCACCATGGCGGCTGCCGTCATATTCGGCTGGTGGGCGATCGGCCCGGTCGTCTGCCTGACAGGAGGTACGGTACATACGGGTCGGAAGCGGTTAGAGGAGAAGACAGCGTCAGGTAGGGCGGTTGGGAGGACGAGGGTCGCTCGAACAGTGCAGGATTCATGTTTCGGTTTTATCCGAATAAGCCATCGGTTCCGCAATTTGGCCAAAAAAGCTGCAGACAGAATGCATGAATATCCAGACATTCACCGGATCAACCAGTTACATATCTGAGTCTGCTTCAACACTCAAGCAAAGCCGCATATCCCACAGCATTACAAAATAAGCATGAGTGTGGGATTGGGGCCCAGACCAACTAGGGACCACGTCCGATCCTTCAGTCTTGGGCGGGACTCTTTTCAGCGCGCTGACACTGTGAAGTAGCCGAGTCGGCCGCCGGGACTCACCTGGGGCGCAGAGGAGTGCGGCACCGGCCCAGCGGCGGTAGAGGCCGGTTCTTCGCTGGCGCCGGCAGAGTACTGCAACGAGCCACCGCCGCCTTCACTCTTCACCTAGAGGTTCTCGCCGTAGGCAGCGTGCACCGGATAGGCGCCGAGGCCCGCCGCCAGCGACCCATGCTGGTTCTACATGATGACGTCTAAGGCGCCGTCAGCCGCGCCAGGCTCGGCTGGGCGGCCAGACTGGGCGACGAGAAGGGGCGTCTCGGCGGGAGAGCGGCGCACCGGCGGCACCACGCAAACCACGGCTGACGAACCGTCACTACTCTCCGGCGACTCCTGGCGCTTCATCACATTCTCGACACGGCACAGAAACTGCGGGCACACGGACACATACCGACCACACGTCAGCCGTCCGGCGCCGCCGCTCTACCGACCACGGACACCTGAGCTGACTGACAAGGAGCTCAGAGGGCAGGGCAGGGCAGGGCAGGGCAGGGCAGGGCAGGGCAGGGCAGGGCAGGGCAGGGCAGGGCAGGGCAGGGCAGGGCAGGGCAGGGCAGGGCAGGGCAGGGCAGGGCAGGGCAGGGCAGGGCAGGGCAGGGCAGGGCAGGGCAGGGCAGGGCAGGGCAGGGCAGGGCAGGGCAGGGCAGGGCAGGGCAGGGCAGGGCAGGGCAGGGCAGGGCAGGGCAGGGCAGGGCAGGGCAGGGCAGGGCAGGGCAGGGCAGGGCAGGGCAGGGCAGGGCAGGGCAGGGCAGGGCAGGGCAGGGCAGTGAGAGGCGGCGAGATGCAGTGAGAGACAGTGAGAAGCGGTGAGAGGCAGTGAGAGGCAATGAGAGACAGTCAGTGAGCAGAGGCAGGCAGTGAGAGGCAGGGCATGAGGCGGTGAGAGGCAGTGAGCAAAGGAAGGCAGTCAGAGGCAGTGACAGGCGGTGAGAGGCAGTCAGTGAGCAGAGGCAGGCAGTCAGAGGCAGTGACAGGCGGTGAGAGGCAGTCAGTGAGCAGAGGCAGGCAGTCAGAGGCAGGACAGGAGGCAGTGAGAGGCGGTGAGAGGCAGTGAGAGGCGATGGGAGGCAGTCAGTGAGCAGAGGTAGGCAGTCAGAGGCAGTGACAGGCGGTGAGAGGCAGTCAGTGAGCAGAGGCAGGCAGTCAGAGGCAGTGACAGGCGGTGAGAGGCAGTCAGTGAGCAGAGGCAGGCAGTCAGAGGCAGGACAGGAGGCAGTGAGAGGCGGTGAGAGGCAGTGAGAGGCGATGGGAGGCAGTCAGTGAGCAGAGGTAGGCAGTCAGAGGCAGGGAAGGAGGCAGTGAGAAGAGGTGAGAGGCAGTGAGAGGCAGAGAGAGGCGGCGAGAGGCGGTGAGAGGCAGTGAGAGGAGGTGAGAGGCAGTCCGTGAGCAGAGGAAGGCAGTGAGAGGCAGTGAGAGCCGAGAGGCGGTGAGAGGCAGTAGAGGCGATGAGAGGCAGTCAGTGAGCAGAGGTAGGCAGTCAGAGGCAGGGCAGGAGGCAGTGAGAGGCAGTGAGAGGTGGTGAGAGGCAGTGACATGCAGTGAGAGGCGGTGAGAGGCGATGAGAGGTTGTGACATGCAGTAAGAGGCGGTGAGAGGCAGTAGAGGCGGTGAGAGGCAGTCAATGAGCAGAGGCAGGCAGTCTGAGGCAGGGCAGGAGGCAGTGAGAGGCGGTGAGAGGCAGTGAGAGGCGGCGAGAGGTGGTGAGAGGTAGTGACATGCAGTGAGAGGCAGTGAGAGGCGGTGAAAAGCAGTGAGAGGCAGGGAGAAGAAGTGAGAGGCAGTGAGAGGCAGTGAGAGGCGGTGAGAGGCAGTGAGAGGCAGTAGAAGCGGTGAGAGGCAGTCAGTGAGCAGAGCCAGGCAGTCAGAGGCAGGGCAGGAGGCAGTGAGAGGCGGTGAGAGGCAGTGAGAGGTGGTGAGAGGTAGTAGAGGCGGCGAGAGGCAGTCAGTGAGCAGAGGCAGGCAGTCAGAGGCAGGGCAGGAGGCAGTGAGAGGCGGTCAGAGGCAGTGAGAGGCGGTCAGAGGCAGTGAGAGGCGGCGAGAGGTGGTGAGAGGTAGTGACATGCAGTGAGAGGCGGTGAGAAGCAGTGAGAGGCAGTGAGAAGAAGTTAGAGGCAGTGAGAGGAAGTTAGAGGCAGTGAGAGGCAGTGAGAGGCGGCGAGAGGCAGTGAGAGGCAGTAGAAGCGGTGAGAGGCAGTCAGTGAGCAGAGCCAGGCAGTCAGAGGCAGGGCAGGAGGCAGTGAGAGGCGGTGAGAGGCAGTGAGAGGCGGTGAGAGGCAGTGAGAGACAATGAGAGGCGGTGAGAGGCGGTGAGAGGAAGTAAGAGGCAGTGAGAGGCAGTAGAGGCAATGAGAGTCAGTGAGCAGAGGTAGGCAGTCAGAGGCAGGGCAGGAGGCAGTGAGAGGCAGTGAGAGGTGGTGAGAGGCAGTGAGAGGCGGCGAGAGGTGGTGAGAGGCAGTGACATGCAGTGAGAGGCAGTGAGAGGCGGTGAGAGGCAGTAGAGGCGGTGAGAGGCAGTCAGTGAGCAGATTCAGGCAATCAGAAGCAGGGCAGGAGGCAGTGAGAGGCGGTGAGAGGCAGTGAGAGGCGGCGAGAGGTGGTGAGAGGTAGTGACATGCAGTGAGAGGCAGTGAGAGGTGGTGAGAGGCAGTGACATGCAGTGAGAGGCGGTGAGAGGCGTTGAGAGGCGGCGAGAGGTGGTGAGAGGTAGTCACTGAGCAGAGGTAGGCAGTCAGAGGCAGGGCAGGAGGCAGTGAGAGGCAGTGAGAGGTGGTGAGAGGCAGTGAGAGGCGGCGAGAGGTGGTGAGAGGCAGTGACATGCAGTGAGAGGCGGTGAGAGGCAGTGAGAGACAATGAGAGGCGGTGAGAGGAAGTTAGAGGCAGTGAGAGGCGGCGAGAGGCAGTGAGAGGCAGTAGAAGCGGTGAGAGGCAGTCAGTGAGCAGAGCCAGGCAGTCAGAGGCAGGGCAGGAGGCAGTGAGAGGCAGTGAGAGGCGGTGAGAGGCAGTGAGAGACAATGAGAGGCGGTGAGAGGCGGTGAGAGGAAGTAAGAGGCAGTGAGAGGCAGTAGAGGCGATGAGAGTCAGTGAGCAGAGGTAGGCAGTCAGAGGCAGGGCAGGAGGCAGTGAGAGGCAGTGAGAGGTGGTGAGAGGCAGTGAGAGGCGGCGAGAGGTGGTGAGAGGCAGTGACATGCAGTGAGAGGCAGTGAGAGGCGGTGAGAGGCAGTGAGAGGCAGTAGAGGCGGTGAGAGGCAGTCAGTGAGCAGATTCAGGCAATCAGAAGCAGGGCAGGAGGCAGTGAGAGGCGGTGAGAGGCAGTGAGAGGCGGCGAGAGGTGGTGAGAGGCAGTGACATGCAGTGAGAGGCGGTGAGAGGCAGTGAGAGACAATGAGAGGCGGTGAGAGGAAGTAAGAGGCAGTGAGAGGCAGTGAGAGGCGGTGAGAGGCAGTGAGACAATGAGAGGCGGTGAGAGGCGGTTGGAAGCGGTGGGAGGCGGTGGGAGGCGGTGAGAGGCTGTGAAATGCAGTGAGAGGCGGCGAGAGGCAGTGAGAGGCGTTGAGAGGAAGTCAGTGAGCAGAGGCAGGCAGTCAGAGGCAGGGAAGGAGGCAGTGAGAAGAGGTGAGAGGCAGTGAGAGGCGGCGAGAGGCAGAGAGAGGCGGCGAGAGGCAGTGACATGCAGTGAGAGGCAGTGAGAGGCGGTGAGAGACAGTGAGAGGCAGTAGAGGCGGTGAGAGGCAGTCAGTGAGCAGATTCAGGCAGTCAGAAGCAGGGCAGGAGGCAGTGAGAGGCGGTGAGAGGCAGTGAGAGGCGGCGAGAGGTGGTGAGAGGTAGTGACATGCAGTGAGAGGCAGTGAGAGGTGGTGAGAGGCAGTGACATGCAGTGAGAGGCGGTGAGAGGCGGCGAGAGGCAGTGGGAGGCGATGAGAGGTTGTGACATGCAGTAAGAGGCGGTGAGAGGCAGTAGAGGCGGTGAGAGGCAGTCAGTGAGCAGAGGCAGGCAGTCAGAGGCAGGACAGGAGGCAGTGAGAGGCGGTGAGAGGCAGTGAGAGGCGGCGAGAGGTGGTGAGAGGTAGTGACATGCGGTGAGAGGCGGTGAGAGGCAGTGAGAGACAATGAGAGGCGGTGAGAGGCGGTGAGAGGAAGTAAGAGGCAGTGAGAGGCAGTGAGAGGCGGTGAGAGGCAGTGAGACAATGAGAGGCGGTGAGAGGCGGTTGGAAGCGGTGGGAGGCGGTGGGAGGTGGTGAGAGGCTGTGACATGCAGTGAGAGGCGGCGAGAGCAGTGCCCCAAAATATTTCGATTTGGGTGGGAAACAACATCCAAATAAAAATTATTTTGCACTCTCATCTCTAATATCTAAGAGCAATTTTCCACTCCCAGCTTTACTGAGAATAAGCATTTGCGTTGGTCATTTTGCATATTACATTTTACCTCATTATATATAAATGTATGCCATTGATCTCTTTTCCACTCTTTTTGGGCCTTACCTGACTGGAGAATTTTCCACTCTTATCCCCTTTTTGGAGAGGAATTTTCCCTCTGACACCCAAGCCAAAACACAATTTTGGGACACTGGGCGAGAGGCAGTGAGAGGCGGTGAGAGGAAGTCAGTGAGCAGAGGCAGGCAGTCAGAGGCAGGGAAGGAGGCAGTGAGAGGCAGTGAGAGGTGGTGAGAGGCAGTGAGAGGCGGCGAGAGGTGGTGAGAGGCAGTGACATGCAGTGAGAGGCAGTGAGAGGAAGTTAGAGGCAATGAGAGGCGGTGAGAGGTAGTGAGAGGCGGTGAGAGGCAGTCAGTGAGCAGAGGCAGGCAGTCAGAGGCAGGGCAGGAGGCAGTGAGAGGCGGTGAGAGGCGGCGAGAGGTGGTGGGAGGTAGTGACATGCAGTGAGAGGCAGTGAGAGGCGGTGAGAAGCAGTGAGAGGCAGTGAGAGGTGGTGAGTGGCGATGAGAGGCGGTGAGGGGCGGTGAGAGGCGGTGAGAGGAAGTCAGTGAGCAGAGGCAGGTAGTCAGAGGCAGGGAAGGAGGCAGTGAGAAGAGGTGAGAGGCGGCGAGAGGCGGTGAGAGGCAGTGACATGCAGTGAGAGGCAGTGAGAGGAAGTTAGAGGCAATGAGAGGCAGTGAGAGGCAGTGAGAGGCAGTGAGAGGCGGTGAGAGGCAGTAGAGGCAGTCAGTGAGCAGAGGCAGGCAGTCAGAGGCAGGGCAGGAGGAAGTGAGAGGCGGTGAGAGCCGGTGGGAGGCAGTGAGAGGCAGTGAGAGGCAGTCAGTGAGCAGAGGAAGGCAGGGGTTACATAACACCTGGAGTTACAGCATCCATATGAAAAACTCATACAAAAATTATGTGTGAATCAAGATTATTTGACAAAAGCTGCTCATCTTTATCAACTACCTACTTTGCGGGCTGGTACAGTTTGTTATATGTCACATCACCCTAGGCCCTCTTAAAGCTAGTTAGGTCAGGTACGGTCGCAACATTTTCTGCGAGGCCATTCCAGATGACGATGAGAATACATTGGGTGGAGAAAGATTGTAGACGAACATCTGGTGTAGCATGTGGCACGCATACCTTGTGACAATAGCCTTGAGTACAGTTCCAAAATTGGATAGTCTGCACATAGGAGCCTTCCTGCAACTGAATACAGAGGGGTGTTCGCGGGCATCGTAAACTGCTGAGTTCACTGTGTGTGGTATGTACAGCAAGCTTAGGGGTAGGGGAAGGGTAACCGGTTCTGATGTCACAGCTGCATGCCATGCGGTGGACGGCCTGTGGCCAGTCCCGACCGGCCACAGCGGTTGCTGTGTGCGGTGACGGAAGAATGGCTTAGGGACGCAGTGGGCGGAGCTTAGAGCTTGTGTATGGTCCGACTGCACACAGGGCCCGTGAACAGCCCTCAGATAGGTCATAGGTATGCAAAGGTTTCAAAAGTACCTATAATAATCAGCTAGCATAAAAACTCATTCTAAGAATTGTGGCTGATAACCCTGATTCTGAAGCCACGCCCATTCCATGGATCACACACATCATATCACCTTCACCTTAACTTTCACACCACGGCATGTTATATCAATATGTTATATGTATATACCTACACTCAAGGCCCTATATACCCTTACCCAAGATTTACCCTTACCTACACCATGGAACCCATGGGCCTACACTACAAAATAAAATGAATATGGCGCGGTGCCTATTTACACGCGTCAATTATGTCATTGATGCGCCACAATACCTACCTGTCAGCCATATTGGAAAACAAATGCTCGTTTTTCTAAATACTCATTCTGGCTTTTCTAAGGCTTGCCGAGCTAAGAAAATTTTACCATTAAATTCAGAAGACAAAGTTGAGGGGTAATTTGAATTTTAACAAAAATTGAAGGGGTCCGCTCTCAAATGACCTTGACCTTTGACCCCTCATATCTCAGCCCCCAGAGCTTGCCGAACTTAGATAATTTGGGATATTAATAAGGGTGTCTAGATGCACTAGCTCACAAAATTTCATTAAAATCTGAGGGGTCCGCTTTAAAATGGGTCACGTGACCTCCACGTGGCTGCAAACTTTGACCTGACCTAACTTCCAGGTCAGGGCTTGCCGGGCTTAGATTTTATGCCCATCGTGCTCAGCAGGTCAACTTGCATCTGTGTGCAAATTTTGAGGTAATTCTGAGGGGTCCGCCCTCAATGACCTTGAACTTTGACCCCTGATATCTCAGCCCCCAGGGCTTGCCGAGCTTAGATAATTTTATTCTGTGATGACCTGGTCATGCTGAGTGGCTGGTGTAAATTTGGTGAGATTCTAAGGGGTCCGTTTTTATCATTTTTTCCATCGAATATGAATTTGGAATCTGAATTTGAATTTGAAGCTAAGTATATAAACGTGCATTACCCAATCCGACGTCCCGCACTCCTGGAAACATTCCCTTGTTCATCCCATCTTAAAATCCGGTGATTTGTCTAGCCCGTCCAACTTCCGTCCCATATCCATCGTACCTGTCATCACCAAAATCCTAGAGCGAGCTGTCCACCAACAGCTCTATTCCTACCTGTCTGAAAACCATCTCCTATCTCCTAACCAGCACGGTTTCCGACCTCACCATTCCACGGAAACCGCGCTCGCATCCATTTCCGACCATATCCTATCCGCATCTGACCATGGAGAGGTTTCCCTTCTCTGCCTGCTGGATTTGAGCAAATGTTTTGATGTGATTGACCACTCGAAGCTCCTTTCAAAATTACAGGCGCACGGAATAGACACTTCATGGTTTTCCGCATATCTTCAAAACCACACTCAGAGTGTCAGCTTCACTGACAATCACGGTGGAATCAAAAAGTCCCGCCCGCTACCCAACAGCATCGGAGTTTTTCAGGGTTCAGCCTTAGGCCCCCTCCTCTACTGCGTCTTCGCCAACGACCTTAGTCAGTTTGCCGAAGGCGCAGTAGTAGTACAATATGCAGACGACACACAAATTCTAGTAAGCGGCAAGAAATCTCAATTTCAATCACTCGTCACTCGTATGGAGGACACATTGGCCTCTCTTGACCGTTGGTTCCGGGCCAACGGCTTAAAAGTCAACGCCGCTAAGACTCAGCTGATGCTGTTGGGCAGCCCCCAAAATCTTCGCACATTGCCTGAACTTAAAGTAAAATACCGCGATCACGAGTTGTCCCCAGTTTCCTCAGCAAAAAATCTCGGCATCATATTTGATCGTCACCTGACCTGGGGTGATCATATTACAACGCTCACGAAACGCTGCTTTGGAGTTTTGGGTGGTCTCTCGCATCTCCGGGGGCACCTACCGCCCAATGTGATCTCCGTGCTGGTCAGCGCACTGGTCATATCACAAGTTCGATACTGCATCGCAGTGTATGGTGCTGGCACCAGACACAATCTCTCTCGGATACAAAAAATCTTAAACTACGCAGCAAAAGTCATTTTCGGCCGCAAAAAGTACGATCATGTTTCCGATTTGATGTGCCAGTTGCGCTGGCTCAGCGCGGAGAACCTCGTCACCTACCACTCCCTGTGCCTGCTGCACAAAGTGCGGTGTCACGCCGAGCCGGAGTTGCTAGCGGGTAGTCTGGCCACCGTGGCTGAGGCGCGCGGCCGGGACGCTGCTGTCAGCACGCGGCAGGACACACTCCTGCACGTGCCGCGATCCCGTACAGAGATGGGCAAACGCCGGTTCACCTGCCGAGCGCCGGCTGCCCTCAACTCACTGCCATCGGATTTGCCCCGACTGCCCCCGGGGGCGTTCGGACGACGCCTACGCAGGCATCTGCTCGAGGAGCAGAACACTAGCAACTAGTCATCATGAGTGTCTCTCTGTATATGTGTTCCCCTTTCATCTTTTATTGTATTTTATCAACACCTGTTTTACTGACGACGGGCAGTAATAGCCACATGTTCCAGTGGAATGTCCTGAATAAACTGTCTATTGTCTATTGTTATTGTATTGTCATTGACTTATGATTTTCTAATCGTCCGGTGCTGTTATCGGCTGCTCGGTACCGCGTGTATGTTCCCTCATTCACTCCTGGTCACCCTTCGGTCACCCCTCGCTGGGTCGGGCCAGTCGGCTATTTTTATCCTCTTTCCGGTTAGGCCACCCGCTGAGCTCCCGCCGTGCCGCGCCGTCTGCGAGGGGCCTGACGCTTCTGCCGGCAGAGGTTTCTCCAGGTGTCTCCAAGGAGCCATCGTAGCGCTAAAGGTGTGCTCCGCATACACATACATTGATTTTCGCCCTTACTAGCAGGGCCGCTGGCACGCGTTGGCAGCGCCCTGCGGGCATTTTTTCGCTTAGGGTCATTTTGTGGTAAGGAGGACCAGAAAATCACCCTTCCAACTTTCTCCAGGCCTGGGTGTTTTATCGAGCGCGCCTGAAAACGCACAGTGGACCGAAATCGCACTTCGATTGCGTTACTTCGTATTAGGTAATACGATCAAAAGTGCGCTCTTTTCTCAATCAATAAGGACAAATGCGTGTAAGCACACATATGTATACACTTTTAAATTAAAAGCTTTAAAATGCTGAATTTCAACATCACTACGCTGATGATAATCGTTAGTTGTTTCAGACTTTGGCGCGAAAACGTAGGCCTTCAGATCCACCGTGCGGCCGGTCACCGTATGCAGTAGTGTGATGGTGTGAGTTGGGTCTGGGGAGTCATGGCCGTGTGGGGAGAAGGTGAGCAGATACCGGTGTGCCGACGCGGCGGATGGTAGTGATTAGACAGTTGTGAGCTGGTGTCCTGACCTGAAGTGACTGACACCTGAAATTTTCAGGATAGGTGGCAAAAGGCTCATTCCCAGACGTTGTGCCAAATTTTGCGGCGCTACGCGACACCAACTTTTACGCTATTCGCGAAAAAACTTAGGGAGGCTGCTCCCCCCCCCCCCCGCCAGGCGAGGGCTAAGTTAGAGACAGTGATGGGACTAAGATGTTCGTTGGAGCAACTCCAAGCATTTTATCGACCTCTGGGTATAGGTATAATTTTGGGTACACCATTCGATTCATGACCCTCCCCTTGGAGTTTTCCCGAATCCGCCCCTGGTACTAATACATCACTAAGGGGGGCACCTTGCTATTGGTGCCCCCCTTGCAGAATTCAAGGGGGCACGGTGCCCCGGTGCCCCCCCCCCCGTTCCGCCGCCTATGCTACCACTCTGCCATCAAATTGCGCGAGCTGACGTCACACTTGTGGTAGTGTTGGAGCAATGCAGGGTATATTGAGTGAATGGGCCTGTTGATGTCTCCATGGAAACCCAATTTGACGTGTAATAGCAGCGTGCTGCTGTCACCGGTGAAACAGGGCCCCTAACCACTCGGCTTGCCCACGCGGTCAGCAAAGGGTTATTCAGATGCCTGCTTTACGACTACCAGGTTGGTTAGGTTGGATTGGATTAAAGGTAAACTGCCACCTTTTTTCCACAAAACGGTTTTCACTAGAGCTGAGCCACCTATGTCCCAGACTGAAGTCGGTTTTCCGAAATTCGAACCCGTTTGCGAGAAATCGGAGACCAAAGTTCAGTTTGATGCCATTTTTTTAGTCCAAGAAAACCGACATCTCTACTGTTTATCGATAACTTTGAAACATGAATTTTCTTATCTTTTGGTAAATATATGTCAAAACTTTGATTGTTTCGAGATCAGAGAAGAATTTTGGAGTGTCAAAATAAAAGTTAAACTTATATATTCAGTATTAAAGCAGCATATTAATAATTATGTTTGTAAATTATCGATAAGCTGCTTATAGCAGGTCACGTGATTGCTACCAGATTATGTGCTCAGAAAGCATCTTCTCAACTTCGATTTTGAACGAGCTCGTTGTTCCCATCACCAAAATATGTAACGCCTCCGTAAGTTCGGGTGTCTTTCCGGAAAGATGGAAGCAGGCAAACATTATTCCGATCCACAAAAAAGGAGACAAGAAGAATCCATCAAATTACCGGTCCGTGTCATTGCTTCCTCTCTTCGGAAAGATACTCGAACGCTTAGTTTACGATCAGTTATACCATCATGTTTCGCCGGCCCTGTGCAACGAGCAGCACGGTTTTATTCCTAGGCGGTCCTGTATTACTAACCTAACCGTTTATCTTAAGTCAGCGTGGGAGGCCATATCGGGCGGATATCAGACGGACACTATATATACAGACTATTCGGCAGCTTTTCAAAGTGTGAATCATTCCCTTCTAATTCACAAACTAAAACACTCCTTCAAATTGGAGGAGTCTGCTTTACAATGGTTCGTCTCATATCTGTCCGATAGGCGTCAGAGGGTCATCGTGAACGGAAAAACGTCCAAATGGACGGCAGTACTATCCGGTGTTCCCGAAGGATCCCTTTTGGCTCCGCTACTTTTTTCTTTGTTCATCAATGATTTACCGCGAGAAGTCGATTCCGGGTGCCTTCTGTACGCCGACGACGTCAAAATTTTTCGAAAAATTGTCTCGCCATCTGACGGACTACTGCTCCAGCAGGACCTTGGTCGTCTGGCGGCCTGGTCCGTCAGATGGGGACTCACCCTAAACCCCAGCAAATGCAAATCGTTCACGATCACCCTCAGGCGCGCACCCGTCCGGACAGAGTATTTTATCAACGCCACTAAACTCGAGCATGTTGGAGAGATACGTGACCTGGGTATCATTTTAGACACCAAGCTTACATTTG